TTTCCTGGGATCACTCATGCAGAAGTTTGCCATCGGTTAAAACAGTAATTTTCTCAACTTTTATTCACACATAATCATCCACTGGCACCGGCTCAGTTTATAGCCCCGAGCACAGCTTTGACGGAGAGCAAGCCCCGACCGGTGCAGAGCCAACACCGCAGGAATGCCACCGTCTCCAACATACAGCGGCCATTTCAGTCTATGATCCTCCAAAGAGCAGGGATTTCTAAAACATCAGAATAACAGACGACATATATACACTCTCTATACACTGCAAAAATGATCAAATATGAGGAAATCATTTTTTATCTTCATTTGTTTACATTCTGACCGCCTAAAAACAAGATTTGCCAACGGGAAAAAAGAACTATTGCTTTCATTCCAAGGGAGGATTTCATGTATCTTTTTAAAACAAGATAATTTTGCTTGTCCCATTGGTAAATCTTGTTTTAAGGCAGTCCAAATGTGCTGAAATTAAAAGAAATGTTGCCAAATTTGAGCAATTTTTCATCACTTTTTTCCGTGTAGACTTGATTGGTTGCTTAAATCTGACAGGTCGCCTTGAGTTGTTCCTAGAAAAACTCTGATAAACTTTTGAACTAAATGTTCTATTTTTGAGTGGCAGTAGACGCAGGCCCTGAGGCAGAAACACCCATGATGCTCCCTCCCCCTTGTTTAACGGTGGAGATCAGGTGTTCCATTCCACTTTGGTTTAATCGGTTTGATATATTCTGCCAGTAATGTTCTGTGAAGTGTATAAATGTCTTTTTGAAAACAGTAAACGGGAAATGTTTTTTTAGAGTCCTCCCATGAGCACCACTCTGGTCAGTGTTTTACATACGGTAGATGTGGTCACAGAGATATTGAACTGCCCCAGTGATTAAATGTAAAAAGTGCATTATGTTTATATTTAAGGCTTAGACAGTGTAAAGACCAAAAAGTGTAAATAAGATAGTGCGGTAGACTTGGGACTCTGGTCTGTGAAAAGCGGTATATAAATAAAGATGACTTACTTTCTTACTTCCGCCAAGACAGTTGGAATGGAAGAACATGGTTGGAACAGGGCCGTCTGAGTGGAGTTTGCATGTTCTCCCTGTGTCTGCGTAGGCTTCTTCCGGGTGCTCTGGTTTCCCCTATGTCTAAAAACATGTGCAATGGTTCAGGGTGAATGAGTGTGTGTTTGTGAGTGTGAAAGTGGGACAATGGATGTAATTGCTACAATCCGGAGTGATGTGTTCATTAACATGTACTGTCCCAACCAAATTAACAATAAATAAATGAATAACAAAACATGGACACGAAAGGCGATTGAAATCATTAAGTTGGGCGCACGGACCATCAACAGAGACGAGGGGGCCTTCACCTTGGCTCACACTCGGGACTCACTTCTCTAGAGACCACAGCACAGCGGGGGGCGTGGCCAATCGGACAGATCTGTCAGACTGACCACATCCAGTAACAACAGCTGATAACAGACACACCACACCATCACGTTTCTCTTCTGGCCTAAGCAGAAGTCTACGGCCCAAACTTATAGCTTCTTTACACTTTTTGTTTTAAGCCTTTGCCAAGCTTCTAGCTCCAGGAATATTCTACACTGAACTCTTGCTGTTGTTTTTGGTGAGCTGCCATTCCTTGGGAGAGAAGCAACTGTGTCAAACTCTCTCCATTTGCAACAGCTTTATGCAAATCAACTTTATGCAAATCAACAATTCTTGATGGCCGGTATTTAGACTGGGCTCTTTTGAGGGAGGCACAGTGCACAGCAAGCATCAAGACACAATTCTTATCAGAAGGGTTGTATGATGTTGTATTGTGTTGCATCGTGGGCACTCCTCAGTGATTGGACACACACGTGAAAGGCCATTAATTGCCTCAAAGTCTCCATAGGCAGAAGTTCAATGACCTTTTTCTTCCCCTTCTGTCATTGTTTGAATGGTATCCACATTAAAAATAGGTCTAAATGTCTGGGTGTTTTTAGTTAAATCAGTTGCAGAAATGTTAGGAATTCCAAAAAGTTCAGGTACTTTTCCAGGCCTCTGTAAACTGTATACGTCAACAATAGAGGCCATTGTGCAACTCACACATTTTTGCAGGTTTGAGGCCCGTATCTCTTCACTCAGATTATTCATGATTTTAATGCCTTGTGTGTGATTTTATTTTTTATTTTCTCACCTCGTCTAGACATTATCAATCAGAAAAATATCAACATAATTTCCAGTGGTTAGAAAAACAAAAGTGAAAACTGGTGGCTACAGTATATATGTTGTAATGGCATTTTTTTGTACTGAGTAACAATGTAAAGTTTTTTTTATCTCTCTTTGGTCTGAGCATTATGGACTTTGGGCTTCATGGAGATCTCTTTCTGGGAGTCGCTCATCCAAAGTTCAGAGACTGTCAATAGTTAACGCAGAGCTGTGGTAAGGCAACAGTCTCTGCTATCTCTTATCAGCCTGTTCACGATAAGGAGTCTGAACCGGTTGCCATATCTCCCATCATCACGGCTTACGACTCTCTAACTGGTCTGGCTGCATGACACTGCCGAGGCAAGAGTGCATGTGCAAGGACAGCACATGCACTTTACCTTATGGAAAAGTAGTCCAGGGACTCAAGAAATATATTTGAAACTAGAAATACCACGGATCATTTTTTTATTTGTACAGGGTCTTCCCAATGTGAGATCACGTCTACACACCAAATATCAGCTCAATCCATCCAGTAGTTTTTGTGTAATCCGTCCTACAGACAAAGACACACACATACATTAAATGCCTCTCCTGTGGTGGGGTAATAATGACCTAATTTTAACCGTGATATTGTTTAATTTTCAGCCTCAGTGTCTTCTGGAGATTAGTCATAAATCAGTGCCATCAGCAGCCACACACGCAGCATGTCATGTGTGTGTGTGTGTGTGTGTGTGTGTAAGCAGGGTTGCGCAACTAGGGTTAGGGTTATGGATGGATTGAGCTGTATGGATTGTGAATGAGATGTGTTGGTAGGAACTGTATTCAGACTATATTTTAGCTTGGATAGTTACTCTTTCTGCTAAATAAAAAACAAAATAAACTGATGTCGGTGAAGGACTTTACATCTCCCACATTGTCCACACAGCAGTCTAAGTTTAGGTTAGTGATGCATCCGGAACTTAAATAACTCATTAAGATTAAAAACCATAGACTGTAATTATAATAAAAACAACAATCTCAAGATTTTAAAAAAAGAACAGTTTTATTTCCTTTTAACAAAGCCCATTACGTACCAAAGAAAAAGGTCGGAACACTGTTTAATGCATTTGTGCCTGAGACACCAACAGTTGTTATCAAGTGGCGAGATTTACACATTTCACTTTAGAATCTACAATGTTAAAAGCCTGAAACTTGTTTTTTCTCTTTTTTGTGTGTTCACTATTGTTAACAATTTCGGTTTTGTTTCAGAGAAAGTAAAGTGTGTAACTGGCATTGTAATTAAGTTCCATAAACTGAATCTGATAAAAAATAGCATTTGACAAGTGAAAAGAGAGAACATATGTTTATCGACAAGAGAAAAGCACATTTTGTGTATATTTGTGAAGCCATAGCTCTTGTGTAAAAAGGATCACAGTCATCTGAAGCAGAGAGCGTCTGACTTTAGTAAATGAAATGAAAACACTGAGATGGACACGAGGGTTCACTGGGATCTGTCGTCCTTTGGAAATATTAAGGAATTTAAATATGGTGATCCACCAGTGTAGAGTGATTTTCTGATACAGAAAAAATACTAAGTGGATGATGTTTACTAATTAGTACATCTAGCAGCTGCAAATTCCAGGCTGTTAATACATGAGAACATATTCATATTATTCATAGATATATATTTATTTTTCATAACAAAATAAATCTATGTCGTTGTATTCACTGAGAGTGGTATGGGGCAAAAGTCGTCGTTTTCATGGAGCTGACATTTAGCTCTGTAGAAATAGCACTGACTGTAGCAGCTCGATACTCACAAGGCTCTGCCTGAGAACAGCATTACTTTGAACACACATAGAAAATAGTCTTTATCTGTATAGCGGATGTTACTTTCTCTATAATAAAATGTATTTCTGTTATAATCTTTAAAATAAAATCAGAAATCTGCTTTGTATGTATCTTGGCATTTAGACACAAAATATCTTCTTGGATTTGTACAGCGGAAAAATACTTTGAGCAATAAAACAAGCTTATATTGTGGATTGCAACATAAAAGGTATATCTAAAAATAAAGAATTGCATAGCGGATCAGAATATAAAAACTAAGCAGAAACTGATATTTTTGGTATGTTGCACTTTGACTCATGACTCTGCACTTTCTAGGTACATAAACGTTTATGGTTTCATCTGCGACAGATCGAGTTTACTCCTGATGTTGGACAGTGATGAGTCAGAGTCTGGTTCTGCGCTTCACATAACAGTCTATTCAGGAGTCGCCTCCTTCAGACATAAAAAAAACAAAACAAAACAAAAAAAGTCACAAAAACATAAAAAGTGCCATTTTGCTACATTTTTTTAGTGGATCCATGGTCTCTGCTCGTCGACAGTCCACACAAATCCTCAAGCATCACAACAACAACCCTTCCTGATTTCGATGAGTTTTGGTCACACACATGTGCAGGCGTCTACACACAACTACACACAGACACACACAAACATTGCGTGAAAGGGAAAATAAGAAAAGTGGAACGACAAATGGCAAATGGTGGCAAGTGGGGCATATATCCGCGTGACGGGAGCAGACATTCCAGCTGGTAACACTTTGGGAACAAGCACCGATACAAGGCCTCACAAGTCCCCACTCCGCAGCTCAGTCATTATTGTGTCCACACTCGGGCAGAGGACAAGTACATTCAGAGAGCTGTGTGTGGTCAAAGTCACTGAAATCGCTCCAGGCTTTAATAAAGAAAAAGGCGTGTCCTCTTCAGTCTCTTGAACCACTGCCGCCGTTGGGGTTTGTCTATGTAGCGGTGTGTGTGTTGTGCGCGCTTCTCATCGTCTCTGCTGGGAGTACACGGGGTACGCTAACGTCACGTTGAGAGAGTCATTGTGCTGCACCAGAGACGTGTGCTGGTAGTGGAGGACGAGTTCCTTCAGGGAGCTGTAGAGGTTGTAGGGTTCCGCGAAGCCGTAACCCGACGGGGTCTTGTTGATGACGCAGTGTTTGGCCTCGCCTTCCACGCTGCAAACACACACACGAGAAAGGACAGGGTCAGAGCGCGGCCTCGTCAAGCTCGCCGTGAGTCACCGTTCAGAGCCTGCATCCCACGTTTCACCATTTTATCCATTTAAATCAACTCTTCCCCGTTTGGGTCGGAGCGCAGTGATGATCCGGGACATTTAGTGGCATTTAATGACATTTAAGGACATTTATTAACATTTATGGGCAGTGGTCATCCCGCCCTCTACGGACCAATGGCCTCTATGTGTTTGTTATTATCGCATTTCCTGTGTTTGAACCGTTTCATTCTCTAATCTGTTTCTAGAAAATCGACGACTATGAAAAGTCACCCGAGACGACATTGAATTAAATTGTTTTTAGGACGGGAAGTTTACTGCAACTATAAGAAATTATTGAAATTGTTGTCAAGTGAATCATCTAAACAGTTTTTTTAACCTTCCATAGACTTAATGCTGAGGAGAGGTTTTCTTACTGATACTTCTATAATTAAAAGTGCCTTTACAAAGTATTTTAGTCCAATATGCCAAAGATATTCTCCAGGGGCATCACTTTGTTTTGGTCAAATGTATATAAAAAATCCCATGTTATTGATTTGGGATCGACACTTCCGAATCAATTATTTGAAGACTAAACGACCAACTCATCAATCATCAAAATAATTGTTAACTATAGCTCTACTTGTTTGCTCTTCACCCAATTATAGACTGCTTAATTGCCTGAAAGAGCATTGCTAATGTGGCTAGGTCTGGTTTAGCTTAGGGCCCATGATATAAAAAATTGTATATGACTCATCTCAAACTCATCTTATTGTGTGGGGATTCTCTTTGCTCTGTTCTCGTTTGTGTTTAAGACAAAGTACAAAATGGGCACCAAATCCCAGGGATACGTACACAACACTGCAGGCGTAGCATCCGGCCTTGCTGCTGTCCCGGACCAGGAATGTACCGTCGCGCTTGCCCTTGAGCAGCGCCTCGGCCTGGAGTCTGTTGATGTTGCCGAGCTTCCAGGAGCGCTCGTCCTGGTGCGGCAGGTCCTCGTCGTCCTCCACCATAGAATATTGACTGCGGGGAAAACCAAAATAGGCATCAGCACTCTCAAAAAAACGTACAAATGTTCGCGTTGCTATGAAAAACAAAAGGGAAACTCACTCTTCTGTGTTCTCGTTCTTGATTCCCAGCCATTCGTTGAGCTTTTTCTGACGCACGCCTTTCTGGGTCAACCACCTACGAAACCAGATGAGAGTGTAGATTAGAAAAAACCTGTGATACTTGCAGAAAGAGAGGTGAATTTAAAGGGCTCCTTACATTAGATATTGGTCTCTGGTTTTGCGTAGCTGGATGAGATCGGGCTTGATGCTGTTCATTCTTTTGTCAATCTCTCTGTAATCTGCCGCCTGCTTCTTCAGGTCCTCCTCCAGGCGCCTCTTGCTGTCTACGATTTCACTGATCCGCGATTTCAACTTCTCGTAGTTGCCCATGATTCTGAAAGAACGACAACAACAATTCATCCTCACGTTCTGACAAAAAAAAAAAAAAAAAAAAAAAAAAAAAAACACACAAATCTGGTTTTCCAGTTTTCCGTACCTCTGAATCTCTTTGTCGTTGCCTTCTCGTCTGAACTTCTCGATGTACTCCTTGCTGTACCGCTCTTGCGTTTGGCATTGCTCCTCGAAGATTTTGATGGTTTCGTTGAAAGCTTCTATTGCTGTGCGTTTCATTTGGATTTCCTGGAAGCAGAAAGTGATAGTGAACAAGTGTCAACAACAAAAAAACACAACATTTAACCCTTTAATGGTTTCCTCGACCTTTTGGTGGATCACTTTTTAAGTCACTATATAAATGTGCACTTTATTTATGCCCCTAGGATGCTTCAAGCCATCTACCTGAAGCTTGGAACTGAAATCTACCTCATTGGGGCGTCTCTATCACTTGGTTTTAGGCCCTTTTACCATCAAGCTGAATCTTTTTTTATTTTTTCATGGTAATGCAGAGAAAGTCTATACCCCACTCTTATAGAGGCATATAACAAACAAAAAATTGGAGGTTCAAAAAGAAAAGAAAAACTAATTATTTTGGTATTATGGGTGCTCCTACATGTTCAAGGAGAGAACATTAAAGGGTTAAATTATAAACAGTAGCAGATGGGGGACTCACTTGTGACGTTCTGGTGTATTCTTCATAGAGGCGATCGTACTCCTTGTTCTTATCCTGGTACTGCTGATGGTACTCGCACAGTTTCCTACCCACCGCTTCGATGTTGTCCTCTTTCACCACTTGATCCTGGAGAAATCATCATAAAAAATACAAAAGTTAACATTTAAGACATTTGGGAGGGAAATACAGCCTAAAATCGTTTCGACAGTGGGAGGAGCCTTTTTACCTGCTGGTGTTTGGAAACGGGATACAGCAGCTTGACGTCGAGTTTGGGGTTGTACTGCGCCAGAGACTCCGTGCGGTAGTGGTTGATGAGTTCAACGACCGAGCTGAACGTCAGCGGGTCCGAGAAGCCGTACTTTCCGTCTCGATGAAATATCTTGATGAGTTTGTTGTTGCCTCCTTTCCTGTAAATCAAACAAACACACCCAAATCGTTCATTAAGCAGTTTGCTAAAATAAGTCTGCTGTCACTTTTTTCGGGTGTAAAACTGACCTTAGAGTGAGGGTGTAATCGCCGTGCATTTTAGTTGAAGCGTCTCGTACCAGAAAAGTACCGTCGGCGGTGTCCCTAAGCTTTTCGTTCACCTCTTCCCTCGAGATGTCCCCCCAGTACCATTCGGCGTCTTGTAGAGCCATGTTGTTGTTCATACCGTTGTTAGTCACAGTCGCAGGCTTCAGTGGCTTTGGAGGTAGAGCTGAAACACATTAAAAAAGCACAACTCTCAACACAAGATCTTTGTTTAAACTGAAATATGCAGAAAACGGTTTGATTCTTTGATCTGTGTTGGCAGAATTCGACGGTTTTGTAAAGTTCTCCCAGATAACTACTGTTGTAATTTAGGGCTTTACAAGAATAGATTGAATTGAACCAATGAGGTGTGTGCGTCTGTGTGTCTGTGTGTGTGCGCATGTGTGTTCCTGCGTGCTTTCATTGATTGAATGAGACGCTTTATGGAAGCACTATGATGAGTCGACAGAAATGCAGTTTGCATAAAAATCCAAGCCGCACAAAGTACTTAAGCAGAATCAATGGGCAACATGTGCAACGATATCCCCGACAGCCAAGCAGTGGCTAAACGAAGGCAAGTGGCTATTTTTAAACACACAAATCTGCAATGTCTTTGTTCACTCCCTCTGCATTAGCACCCTTCCTGCTGCAATGAAGCATGCAGGACTGAGCCCATTCAAAGCCCTGCGAATCAACACACATTTAAGCATATGTAAAGCTCACAAAACAGGCTGCTTTTGTTCTCAATGCAGCACAGTAACCAGACAATTTTTCAGACATAATGCTAGTCATACCCTGGACAAAAAGCCCTATATCTCCATAAAACAGTCATATTTTACAATTAAAAGAGGAGTTGAGTTGAGTCAAGCCAAATCTACATCAGAGGAACCCTGCTCAGTAACATGTTACATCACTCACCACAGCCAATCACATCGAGGGTCCGTCCTCCACCATTCCTGCATCCTTCTTTACTCACGACTATGACATAAAAGCTTTCTTCCACAGATCTGTCTTTTCTATAGTGCTCCTCAAAGTCAATTGTTAAAGAGCCTTCAGAGAATAGAAATCCACCATGACTGCAGCCGTGCGTCCTAGTGCAAAGTACGATGAGAGGGTTAGCAGGAGCGAAGCAGCCGCAGCCTGTTCCATGCTTTTCCCAGCGTCATCACTCCCCCCTCTGTGACTCCTGCAGCCCTAAGCCCCGCCCCTGCGCGTGTCATGCCGGGTTGTCTGCTGTCGGCCCTCCCTCTGCTGGCACCTGAGACAAAGCCAGCTCTGGTGCTGCAGCACGTACACCGCTACAAGATAAAGCCTGGGTAGGCCAGTCGCACCAAAATACATCTGTAATCCCACAGTGACACTGGGCTGACAGTACAAGAGATTGATTTCCTCAGGGCCATTAAAATAGATATAGTTCTTGGTAACGTACAATGAATAAGTGGAACAGTGTCCCATTTCACAATGTCCTTAAGGTGAGGCCTTGACTTCTGCACATGTGCAACTATCAAACTGAAGATGGTATCCACAAAAATGTGTATATCTAATCTCATCACTGTATAACCGTTAAACATTATTTTAAATGTGTATTTCAGATTATCTTTGTGGCCAATTAAAGGCTAATTTATCAGAAACACACCATTACATTCAATACCATATAAGAACATTATATATATATATATATTACACATACATACATATATAAATGTGTATTATGGACAATTTAAATATATTCTAGATAAAGTAAAAGATTCTAACTTGGGACTAAAGTTTGATCGAGTATGCACTGAGTGCAGGGATATTGAAACCCATTTGAGAGACTTTGATCTCCATTTACACAAAAATATCAACTCTTCATAGAGGAGTTATGTTTAAAAGTTTGCAACAAGCCTCTTTTATATTGATTCAGCTCTTTGAAGAGACATTTTAATATCAATGTACTCAATGTATACCATTGCTTATAATGATAAAATAGTTTTCTAACTCCTCACCATTACAATCTGTCACTTCTGTCACTTTATAATCTCAAACCTCTGGTCACTTATCTATGATCTGCAATTTGTTAAATGCCTATTGTGTATATTTATGTCAGAATTGTATAAAGATTTATAATGCATTCATCTATATCTTTTAAAAACTAACTTGTTTGCACAAAACTCCTACAGTTTATGACTCCCTGGTACTTACAAAGGCAATAAAAGAATTCTGATTCTGATCTCTAACATACAACGTTTTAAGATTATATGTTAGTCTTCTAGAGAGCATGAATGTAGAGCAACAAGCATCTCATATCAGCTGACATACCAAGAGGCACATAGTTTCCTGACACAAGAGACAAAGCAGAAAGGATACACTAATACACCCAATGCAAGATATAAATATGGTTTTATAGATATGGTTTTTAAAATCTTAAATGGTCTGGCCCCACCCCCACTATCTATTTTTTTTAAGCAGAGCAGCAGAAACACCAGATCTGCTGCCTCTAATAATCTTCTCGTCCCACTGAGAAAAAGTTCCTTTGGCCAATCAGCTTTCTCGGTGCGCGCCGTTCAGTTTTGGAACACAATCCCAGTCCATATAAAAAATAGCACCACACACAGGATTTTTAAACATACGTTGAAAGCCTGGTTATTGGACAATCAAGATTGTAACCACTCATGATGTATTACTTGCTTTTATATGTTTTAATTACGTGTTTTAAACTGAAATGTTTTAACTAGTTACTCTATATTGTCAAGTGATGTAATGTATTGTAATGTAATTGTAATTTTTTGCAGTGCACTTTGATGGCATTTTACACCTAGGGACTAGAGTTGGAAACTAGCTTTTAGCTAATACTGACACATTTACAGCAATGTTGATTAATGTGTATTGTTCCTATCCAAATAAACTATTAAATGAAATGAAATGAAAAAACATAAGTGCACTTACTGTACAAGTTATGCATATTTTGTGCTCATTCCAAGCCGTCTAAGTATGTCCTCGATGTTTGCTTTAAAAGGACCCATAAATGTGCTTAGAAGTTCTTCCTTGAATGCAGTTCTTATTCAAATCCAGGTAATCCGTGCAAAGTAAAGTGCCAGAACACAGTCTGCTCTCAGGCACAAAGCTAATGATTAGCACGAGCCGGAGCTGCTGCCCCATACGGGTGTCGGTCACTCCCCCTTTCCCTCCCTCTTGCTCTGGGCTGGTTTAGGAGGAGTCAAGGGGTGTTTCAGCTAATGATCAACTTGCAATGTTTCAAATATTTGCTGAGCTCGACACTTTGAGGCAAGTAGTATTTGGAGAGTCAGGGTAAGGCAGTTTAACAAGAGGTGCTCTGTGGAGTGGGTAAACTTTCCAACCAACTCAAAGTGTGCCTTTTGTCGCAAACTTAAAATAGACCAGAGCAAGGCACATGCACTCTGTGTGTACTTTCATTCAAAGACAGACTGAAAATATAGCACATGTCTTGGGAACTGAGTACATTATTATCACAGCTGAACATGTCAGAGTAGAAGTCTGTCTCACAGGGCGGCACGGTGGCTGAGTGGATAGCACTCTCGCCTCTCAGCAAGAAGGTCCTGGGTTCGAATCCCGGTCGGACCAGGGCCTTTCTGAGTGGAGTTTGCATGTTCTCCCCGTGTCTGCGTAGGTTTCCTCCGGGTACTCCGGTTTCCCCTACCACTAAAAATATGTCCAATAGTTCAGGCATGTGCCTCCTGTACTGGCCCCGCTCCCATCTCTGTGTGGAGTGAGAGACAAATGCCCATAATTAACAATTGTAAACCGCTTTGAGACTCAGATCTGCAGTGAAAAGGCGGTATATAAATAAAAACTTACTTACTTACTTACTTACTTACAGCTGTGCACAAGAAAGTAGTATCACCGCTGAACACAAACCATTTCCAATTGAATAGTACGAACTAAAAATCTTCTCCACCGACTCCCACTGATGACTGCTGTTGTTGTGTCCTTGGGCAAGACACTTAACCCCACTTTGCCCAAAGCCCCCACTGAAAGATCAAGGCTATGCTCACACTCAGAGAGCAGCCGTCCTCCTGTGGACTCACCACCTGCAGAGGGTCAGTGAGGGGCTGGTGCTATGAGACTTGGGTGGCATCTCTGACTGCCACCCCCCTGACCCAGAAATGGATTAAAGGGAAGAAAATGGATGGATGGATGGATGGATGGAACTAAAAATCAGAAAGTTACCCAAAGCCAATACTTCTAAATCAAAATGTGCGTGCCACAAGCCTTTCCTCTCCGTTTATTCACTGCACTCCCACCCAGGCCAGGGTGAAACTACTCCTGCAGGTGCAAATTACTGACAGCCGAGACTTGCCCTTGCTCACATTATAAATAGCCCTAACAGGTAATAAAATGTTTAAACAAGCAGGGCCAGCGATGGGCCTCTGTGGCAGCCAACAACGGTGCTTTTAACTAGAGCTGTAAAAACGTTATGAAGCCACGCACACGACTCAAACACTGCAGCGTTTGTCATTACAGGACAGGACTGTGTTTGTCTGTAATTGTTTCAACTAGAGTTAGCTACAAAACCAAGTTAAACATTATTGAAATAAGAAAACAACCTTAAAAGGGTAAACTCAATTCAATCCACTGTGTTTTTGTGTAGTCTTAAATCACAACAGCAGTCGTCTCAGATGACTAACAAAGTTGTCAATTCGCCAACAACCTGATCAGAGAATCCAAAAGGTAATCCACCACAAGAAAGGTAGGAAGTATTCTGATCTTTGCCCAAAATAACTCACCCAGAACCAGCAACAAATTGATACCTTAACTAAGAAATATAAATATGCAAATAGTAAAATACACTCATTTTATAATTACCATTATATTCCCAGAACTTTGCGTGTCCTCAGAACATGACGTATTGAGATTTTTTCAGAGCAGTGGTTTTGTTTGACAAGTGAATCATAAAGTACTTTGGGAAAGGGTTTGAATAATCCATAGTAAAGGTTTTACCTGGTGCTGCATGGCTGTCTGTCCACTCGCTGGCCACCAATACTTCAATGATTCTGATGTGGATATCAGAGCTGGGCTCACAGCTGTCAGCACAAAGGTTGAGTGTATTTAGAGCATGTAAAAGATAAATGAGACATTGCTTGTTAATGTACGTGCAAGTGTCTGCAGTGAGCCTGTGTGTGCATGTTTGAGTGTCTGGCTTCCAGAGTATTGTATGACCGAGCCTGAACACTTGAGCCCGTCTGTGGTCTGCTCTATCTTTAAACGCGGTGTGTGGACCAGCTCCCACCTGGTGCTCTGTTGTCTGAAAAGAACTGGGCTGAAGATCTCTCCCAAGGCCCGCGCAGAGAGCAGGTTCTTGGAGCAGCTTTGACAAACGCGGCTGAAGTGTCTGAGCAGACACTGGAGGGAGAGCCAGTATTGTGGTGGCAGACCTGGAGCACTGAAGACACACCGCAGCAGCTGAGCACACTCCTCTGGGCCAGACACCTCTGCAGAACCAGACGCACAACTTTAGGCACATGGAGTTGCATGGACACAAACATGTGAGACAGACTTCTACTCTGACATGTTCTGACCCAGGTTAGCTGTGCATACAACTGAAGGATTGTTTATGCACTCTTTTAATGTACTGTGATTATTTAGGATCTTTATGCATTGTGTGATTGTATAATTTTAAGATTAAGAGATTAGGAGATCCTTTATTCGTCCCACAGTAGAAAACTCTCTATTGCATCACAAGTTACAGAGCAGCAGGAATGAGGAGCACACAACACAAGATTAATGAATATGAAATATAGCACAACTTCATACTATAAAATCAGCACTTCAAGTTGCCTTTGCATAAGGAAGTAACTTGCCTTGCTGACATTTTACTACAAAACTAAATGTTCTTTAATGTTATCTCAAACAAAGAGGAGATGGAAACTAGTGTCATGTGCAGTTGGTTTACACACCGCAGAGCGACAGTGCGGTTAACAAAGAGTGTAAGGTACACTAGCAGGTGATTGGCTGCTCAAAGATTGTACAGATAAACTTTCCGCCTTGTTTTAGGTCCTATTAACCACAGATATCCTGTTTCTGGCCTCGTGACAGCAAGAGAATGTGGCACGACAGAGCAGTGTTGAGAGAGTTTGGTTACTGCTTACAAAAATGCTTTTGGGTAAATGTGACATGTGGTGCACAGAGGAAGACCTATAAAAAGCTTTTGGAACAAGACGCAAGACAGACAAAGAACTGAATGTTCAATTAGCAGCAGAGTGAAAAGTTGCATCAGCGCTGGAGTAAACAGTGCTAATTCCAAAAGAGAATCAACGTCTGCCCTCACCTGTGGCTGTGTGGACCACTTGAGTGTATAATGCAGCTGGAATGACGGGCTGGGGCAGATCCTGCAAGTACCTCCGCAAACCGTCACAAAGCACAGGGAGTTCCATCGACTCCAAATCCACAGTGGAAGGATCTGGAATATGCATTGTGCCGACGTTACACTTTATCATAAGCACACACAACTTAAAACACAAGATTTGAATAAATTTGAATCGCAATGTCCTTACCACAGTCGTAACACTGTCGAATTTCGGCTCCACCTCCAGCAGTAAACGTTCGATAAAGAGTCGGGTTGTCAAGACCTGCAAACAGAACCATATATAAACGTAAAAAACACACACAAACGTAATAACATCTGGAAAGACTCAAACGAGATGCAGTAGAATGATGTCTACAAAATAGGTTTGCATTGAGTATATATAGTTTAGACTTCTGTAAATACAAGAAGCATTTACAGCTATTGTTTTGTGCTGTCTTTATTCTTACTGCGATGTATGCGCACCGCAACACAAACACTGTGGGGCGAATATAGGTTCTCTTCTTTCATATTAGACTCATAACAGTATAAGTGTATATTTATTGACACATGGCTCTAAGACCTTTTATTATATATTTTCCCCCTCTATATTGACCAATCTCAATTTCAGACTCGATTGTTTTTAAATACTTAAATTTGAACAAAGCTAAATATTGCAATTTTAATCAGAATGTTTAATCACAGCAAAAAGGCGAGGAAAAAGTGAGTGAGGTAAAAACCGCCTGTCCACTTGTTTTTACATCACAATGAGAGATAAGAAAACTCTGCCAAATGACTGGTGTCTTTCAGGTGTTGATAGCTAGTATCTATCAAACTAGTCATTTCCATCTTTTTATTTTTGGCAAAGCTCAAACTGAGAAGGACGTCCAACTGATGAGGTGGTGATGGGGAGGAGGGGGGTTACTGGACGAGCTGAAGCATTAGCGCAGGAACAGAAGGCCGTGTTTAAATGCAGAAAGTGAAGCAGATACTGATTAGCAGCGGTCTGGGTTAGTGGGGGGATTGAACTGAAGTGAAGATGTGGGATAGTGAGTGACCACAGGAATATTCCAGTCTCTAAACCTATGCAATAGTAAAACTCACCGCTTTTCTCGATAGCCTGAAGCAGCCGGGCCAGCAGCGGTGGGGCCGTCTCTGGAAGCGCGAACTGCTCGGTCAAATCCAGGAGATATGCGCCTGAAAAGAGGATAGAACAATGTATAATTGAGTATTGATTTCAGACACATCACAAGTAATACACATTAAAAACACTACTTTCTTTGGACCCCAAATTTGGTAAATGGGGATAAGCCTTGAGTAGAGTAGAAGACAAGACAGATGAGAGTTGCATTGAAAATTATAATTAAAAACATACATGCGGACAACAGCACTAGGGGTGTGACGATATATTGATTTTTCGATATATATATTATTTTTTTACAAATTATTTTTTTTGAATTGGTATCAATACTTAATATATGGCTACATTAAGCATCTCCATTCCATTTATCATGAAATAAAGTGTATTTTTTCTTTTATTTATACCATAAATTGGCATTTTGTATATTTCTGACCAATATATCAGTAATCGCTATATCGTGATAAAATCGTTATCGTTATCGTGAGCTTTGTATCGTGTATCGTATCGTATTGTGAGGTACCCTTAGGTTCCCACCCCTAAACAGCACACATTTTAAAAGGGTTACAAAAATAACAGATATCATCTATGTTCTGAGTACGACCAAGACATATCCTGGTCATCACAGAAGCACAAGAGCAAATTCAACTTCAAAAGCAAGTCGATATTCAAGCGAACTCATTGAAGACCACAAGTCACCACCGAGCTTTAGAGTTCAGACGTGGAGGTTGAAGGATTGTGTAAATAGCTGGCTTAATACGAGTTAAGCCAGGCCAGCGGGCAAACTTACATTTTCTTCAGAACTTTATTCCCAGGTGTGGACATGAAAAGATCAAGAACTTGGACTGGATTTTATTTGGATGTGCAAAAGGTGTATTTTGAAAAGGATCGGTTCTGAAAGGAAAGCCTGTACGGTGTAAGTGCACAAAAATCCTCTGATATTATAAATGGACCCCTTCTTGTACGCCGCTTACACACGTGCGCAAACACACACGCACGCACGGCAAAAAAGTTCATGAATTAACATTTTTGAATAACTTCCAGAATTCTAATGTCTTTTAAATGAGGGGCGGATAACAGGGTCCTCCTCACACATTCGACACAGCGGACTGCATGTAAAACAACGAGTCATCTGGAAGATATCACAGGAACTACCAGGTTGTTTGTTGGGGGGGGGGGGGGGGGGGGGGGGGGACCAGGGAGGAGGGGGTTCTCAGAAGTCGTATACGGAAGGGCATCGTTCCTTAAATAGGGACAGAGACATGTGGAGCGCCCGCTGCACCTCTGCCATATAACCTTTCTCCGAGGCCAGATATGCTACTTGTTTCTGAGAACCCCATGGACAGAGCTCTGGGCCCCGCTGCAGTCCAAGATCAAATTCTAATTGTAAATCAAACTATATTACGACCTGTGTGACAATCTCAACTTGTGTACTTAACATGATTTACCCTTATAATAATATTGCATTGTGTACGTTTTTTTATATTTTCCTCCTCCATATTGACCAATCTCAATTTTACACTAGATTGTTTTTAAATACTTGAATTGGAACAAAGCTAAATATAGAATTTTTAATTGTGAAGTTTAAGCCAATCACAGCAAAAGGGCGAGACCACAAGAGTGAGTGAAGTCCAGCTGTTTTTTTCATCAGAATGAGAGATGAAAAAACTTGCTGTTTCTGCCAAATGACTATCTACCAAACTTTTCATTTCCATCTTTCAATTTTTGGCAAAGCTCGAACTCATGATTTACCCGTATAATAATATTGCATTGTGTAAGTTTTCTAATATCGCAATAATAGTGGTCCGTTAGGTCAAACTTTGTACCGTAATAATGGTGAACAATAGAAGCCTGTAGACATTGCCACACTTCCTTAGTAACAGCGACTATATGGAGAAGAAGCATGCGGTCCCTTGTGTTTATTTACTCATGAGTGACAACAGACGGCAGTGATACAGTTGCTTCTAAGTACCGTCAACGGCAACATAGTTTGGCACCAACAAACTTGGATCTAGTAACAGAAAAAAAAGTATGTCAGAAATGTTTCGAGCTATTTAGGTGGTTGAATTTCCCTGGCGCGGGATCAAACAATAGGCAAGTTCCTTCATGTTTCCCCCAGGATTGTCCCTTTGCTTCTAACCGAGTGCATCTGATTAATGTAGTCTTCAAAAATGTGGAGAAAATAGAACGAGCGCATGACCAAATATAGACCTATATTCTATTCAGCACATCCCCGACTGAGGTAGTGAATAAACAATTGGCGCAAGATAATAATGGAGAGACATGAAAACGGGGGGGGGGGGGTTCAGCAGAGGATCAATGTGACCAGTGGAATGGTGTTGCCCTCTTGTAGGAAGCAGCACCACCCTCCAGAATGATGGGTTTTGGATATGGTCTCTCCCACAGCAGACTGAGTGGTATGTGTTTCCACGTTTGTCAGATACTGATTATCAGTAAAAGACTTGAGTAATCTATCACTTATATTGGATTGGATTCTTAAATCCAATTGTTTGTCCTTTAGTGAAGGAAACTGATTCATGTGAAGTGATGCTATTAGTTCCGACAGTTTCATATGTGGAGGGGCGACAGTAGCTCAGTTGGTAGAGCATTGGCCTTAAGCCCAGAAGGTCGTGGGTTCAATTCCCACCTCTGCACCTTCTCCACCGACTCCCACTGATGACTGCTGTCGTTGTGTCCTTGGGCAAGACACTTAACCCCACTTTGCCCAAAGCCCCCACTGAAAGATCAAGGCTATGCTCACACTCAGAGAGCAGCCGTCCTCCTGTGGACTCACCACCTGCAGAGGGTCAGTGAGGGGCTGGTGCTATGAGACTTGGGTGGCATCTCTGACTGCCACCCCCCTGACCCAGAAATGGATTAAAGGGAAGAAAATGGATGGATGGATGGAGTTTCATATGTGTTTTAGTCCAATAAGCAAAGAAATACAAACAGCCTTATTGTATACAAATAATGTGGTGGTTCAGCCCGATATATTCTATAAACCATTACAGCTAATCCTGCAAAGTTTTGGCTTAAGGTCTGCAGGCACATTACCATTACCTGCACATGAGCTGGATTGTGTTGTGTCCTGAATGCACCTGGACAATAGACACGATTAGAATTATAGCATTTAAATGTTGATCCTTTGCAATAAGCAAAATTGCAAAGACTGCTTCTTGTGCAAACTATATATAGTTATATCTCAAGAGTATAGTAGTTAAAATCTTCATGGATTTAGGACAAATGCAAATCTAACCCAAAGTTAACCATAAAAAGGAAATTGTTTTAGCTGCATCAAAATAATATTTTACATATTCTCATTGATTTCTCATTAGTTTAAAGTTAATTTTGTCCATTTATCCAAAATGTTGTATGTTTCTAGACTTTGTCCACAAACATTTTCTATATCCATAAAAAATCAGGATTTTTTTTTTTTGTTATGTTTATTGCAATGAATTACAATAATCTGAGTGCTGTACTCACTCCTCTTGTATAAAGCTCCAGATATTATTGTTGATTTATTGTCCTGTACTACAATGTTGCAGCCTAAACAATAATTTGTTTAATTATTCATTGCTGTCATCATATTGCATGAGCCACGCCAAGTGTCAAGCGATTTCCCTTGTGGGTCAATAGATTGTCTGAGTACAAGTCTAACATCTCCCCCTACCGGAGAGAAGCGGTAGTGTAACCGCTGAATGAGCCAATGAGGACGCTGTTGCTACAATCTGTCAATTAACCCTGTAGTGAGCTGGAGGCCTGAGCAGTTCAGCTGGGGACCAGGTCGAATCAAAAAGGCCCCCATCCGGTTTCCTCAGGACAGGAGAGGCAGAGTGCAACACAACAGATGAATTCACTTTTTCTTAACAAAGATACGTTTGAATAGAAACTAGTGGTTCATGTTGTATAATATACTGGCACCAATTTCAAGATCAGATAAAGTGAGTTCTCATCTGACATTGCATGGGAGAAAAACTTACTGAGAGACAGGGAAAGGCTATTTGAATGGTACAAATTCTTATGCTATTTTAATCTCTCTTGTGCAACTGCCAACCAGTAACTAAATGAGGGGAAGTGGTGCTCGAACATAGTACAAATAAAACACAGTTGCTAAGCTGTGTTTTTTTTCCCCCTTCTTAAACTTATGTAACGCTACACTGTGAGAAAGACTCACGGGAAACAGCCGAACAAACATACATTTCAAATCTCTGCTGTAGCATTGGTTTTACGGACCTCTCTTGCTTTTTCTCAAAGTCTCAGTCGGCCTCTCTGCTAATCCCTCTAGCAGACAAGCTATTAGTAGCAGCAGCAGTAAAGAAGATTTGATCCAGACACTTAACACTTCCCAATCTTTTGAATTACAGGGAAAGATTTCCAGAAGTGTTTTACTCAAAGGAACAGTATATAGTTTTTTATCACTTGTGTAAATGTCCCAAAAGATACTTCTGAACACGTTTATTTTAACACTGTGAGAAAACTCAAATAATTACGTCATGGCCTTGGAAGCTTTGGATAGTTCAGGAGTATTGAAAAATATTCTTAAGCAATAAAACCTCTTATCTGACATTCTTCTTAAAATACAAAGACGGTTTTAGAGGATTAGTGTTTAGATAACATTTAGAATATAATACTATAATAAATAGTATATTACATCTAATCTTTCCCGACTGCCCGAACAACTGGGTTTATAAATTGTAGGTACACCTGCAGAACACAAAGACAACTATTCCGTGTTTTAAAGGATGGAAGAATATATCAGAATATTGGCTCTCCACAATTCTGGTCCATCTGTTTAAAGCGTTTACTCAAAAATAAACACTATGGGAATGTCCAGTTCTGTGCCGTTTACCTCTTAGCTTCCGGACTTCAGGCAAAGTGCAAAATAACAGATTATATACAAACATGTTGATTTACAGACGTTACAAATGTTTTATGTAACATATGTGTTGTGCGTTTGTGGCACAGGCATCAGACAGGAGACAATGAAAGGCAGGTTGAACAAGGGTGCGCTGACAATAAATATTTTCTACAACTAGACTGAGCTCGTAACGTAGACCGACTTTGAAGAGTATCACTGCCTTATCTAAAGGTGAAAGAATGTTCATGTTCTGATTGTTGGTCAGAAAGCAATTATTATACCACTCCAGGCATTTGGATTTAGAGCCTGAAGCAACACAGGTCTTACATGGAGAGGGACTAGGATATCTAGGACTAGGAGATATGGAAAAAAAGAGCTCAAGATTTTGTATTGCTCTTTTGGACAATTACAATTTTAGAAGTCGTCATTCTGTTTAGTGGAAGAGGCTCAATATTTGAATTGTATAAATGTTTGATTTCCATCCCAAACAAACGCAAAAGTATTGCACAGATGTTGAAATTTCCCCACTGTGGGACAAATGAAGGCCCTCTCATCTCTTCTTATCTGACTCAAATATCAAATATAAATCAATGTTGTGCCTTTAATGAAATGTTTGTGGTGTGTTGTGTAAACTCGGCTCAACTACAGAGGCCTCAAAGAGCAGAAGATACACACTATCCTAACCTCAATTTTGATTTTCAAAATTGTTGCTTATTACACTATATACATTTATTGCCCATCCCTTTGTACATCACTACCTCACTCTCACTGCTAATCCAGCCGTACATGTGCAGTGGATTGCAGAGTCTGGAGTTCATCTCGCAAACCCCAACTAGAGTCCCATGTATCACCCGCACATTCACTTTGCACACGCAGTTTACCCTGCAGTGATAAAAATATACAGCCCTTAGTCATCACCAAATCCTCAGAATTTGTTTATTTGTCACCATCGCATATCACGCTCATGAGCCAAAATCTCTGAATCACAAAGCTGTGCGGTCGTGCCGAAATGAAGGTAAACCAGATCTACCCTGGACTTTGAATAATAAACAGCCTTGTATTACTTGAATGCATATTCTTTGGCACCAAATCAACATGTTCCCCTTTCGACCTTTGAATGCAAATTGCACTCAAACAAAGTTGCAACAATCGTTGCAAAAAAATACAAAATTACAACACCATTGTTTAATTATATTATCGCTCCTATGTTTCTATGGGCCTTTCGCATGTATTCTCTGAATAGGGAGGGTAGAAGTTTGAAAGCGCATGTTGGAATGAGGCGCCTGGTGTCGGGGCCCGGCCTCTCCACATCTGCTGCACTCATGTACACCCTGTGGCTGAGCGGGGCCCCTCGCTCTCCCCCACTACAACCGACTGTAGAAACTATCAAAACAGTGCAGGAGGAGGGACAGTGTTGAAGAGTGGAGGAAGGGAGTGAGATCCTTTAGTAGTGCCTAATAAATCACAAACACAGTGGGAGCACCCACAGCCTTTGAAAATGCGCTGAGCTCCAGTTCTACAGCGTCCCTCGCACTGACCCTCAGAGCAGCAGCGGAGAGCCGCAGCGGAGAGCCGCCCCACAGCCTCAGAGGCCATGTCTCCCCCCATGTGGGCCTCTGAGCAGCACACAGGGAGCATTCTTCTGCTGGTTCATACTTGCTCTAGGCTCAGCGCTGCCACTCAACTACCACCCAGTTATTCACATGCCCCTTCAGACTGTGCTCACTCTCTCCTGCACAAGAAACCACAAAACAGTTTCACAAAAGGCCAGTAACGAGAAACTTGCAAACTACAGCTGCTCTATAAAACTACTGCAAAACACCTTCAAGATTAAAACTACAAACGGAAGTCCAGATTTCCCAAGACTTGACGCTGGAATTAGAACTGTTCTATGTTCACTACATTCTACTCCTACAACACTACAGCTTTAACAAACTGCACAAAGAACCATGATCTCTCTGGTGATACTGCTTTAGTACATGTGTGTGAGTGAGCCAGATCTCTAACATCAAAATGATGTGTTCCATGTCCCATGCCAGACATTTACTGAAGATTTAATTAAAATCCACACTTTCCACAACAAACTCTGATGAAAACATAAAAATGGATATACTTGCATCCCTAGAATTTTAAATGATCATCAAGGGTTAGGGTTTCTAACTGCACTGCAGGAAAATGTTGCAGATTGAATATGCTTAATCAAACGTTCCACATAAAATGCTACTTTTCAGGATGTACAAAGAAAAGGTTCCATGCACTAAAGACTTTTCACCGTTCTCAGGTTTGATAGGGAGATTGGCGCACACATAGCACAAACAAGCTAAGATGTGGCTGTGCTACATCTCCCAGATGTATGGTTTTGTTCATGAGCCCAAGGGTTCTTAGTCTTATGTCACATATCTGATGAGTGAAGGGAACAAGACACGCGATGGTCAAATTGTGGGTTTCTCTTCATTCCCCTTGAGGTGTACAGTTGCATATAGGTTTACTTCATAAAAATGAACAATTGTGGTAAGCCGCCTACTTCATGCCTACGTCAAGCCTACGTCAAGTAAAGTAAAGTAAAAAAAAATCTAGACTTCTTTACCATGACAACCACCACAAAACTTGAATGTAAGTTCATAAAGGGGGAATTTTTTTCTCATGTAGCTTTAAAACTACTTGCTATAAAAGAGATCATGTGTTATGTACAACTATAGAGCACTTAAATGTCTGAGAAACCAGAAGTGCATTGATAAGTAAATATGGCTGGATTAGCTTACAGATCTGACAGTGCTCTGGTCTTTACATATTGTAAGAAGTACTTTAGCAATTTGGGTAACTAGCTTAGAATTCCACAAATAGTTATGTAGTTATAATTATTTAAATGGGACTTCGAAGATTTTTGGTAAAGCCCTTGATGAAAGTATGAAAAACTGGGTGTAAAAAGAAGCAATTCAGTTCCCTCTTCACACCAGATTCAGTTTATTTACCATTTGCAGTAAAAAAAAAAAAATTCTGTGCTGTGTGGTGCAAAGACTCAACTCACCTTGTTCTGAGTCAGAGTCTTCGGCTCTGTCCGCCCCAGGGGTCACAGGTAAGGGTCTGACAGGCCGGGGCTTGGGTGTGGGCGGCGCAATGCATTTCTTCCCGATGTACTCGACATATGTCCCAGGGAAGTCACCTTTCTCTTGAGTGGTCTCATTCAAACCTTGCAACCACCCAATGTCCTCTGGCCTCTGCTCCAGTCCATCAGTGAAGCCAAGAGCAACCAGCGCTCCTTTGCTTACTAACAGAATATCCCCCACATGAAGGTCCATGTCATCCTCCCTCTCCTTCTTGTAATCATGGAGTGCTTTGTACTGGTATCCTTCCGCACTCATATTGACGTCTGTGTAAATGTTCAATTATTAACTATCCAAATTCCATACACAATATTGGAAATACAATAATGGACCATATGACACTGATGTTTACAGATGTTGATATCTAGCTAGTTTTCAGTCTGTCAAAGTTCCCGTAGTCTGGGGATGATGGTTTTGAAGTTTCTTGAGGAGTTGGCCTTTGATATGTACCCATCAGTGAAAGGCCCTCACAAACTCTCTGTAAAACAAGAAGAGTATTGTTCAGCGTTAGTTTATACAGTCTTATATAAGCTCTGCATGGTGGTACAAGATACAAGGGAAATGTGGTAATGGCAATGCAAAACATATCCAATTTTAAAACAATATTATTATACCCCAACCCCTCCCCCTCGCCCTCACTTCCCATGTCCATAACTTCATGTATTCATAGTCGTACGTAACGTTGCATTCAGTTGGTTTACAGTAATCAATATCTATGCCAAAAATAAACCATAAAACGGCTTTTAAGAAATAACATGTTTGCATACGTGCATTTATAAAACTCAAACTTAACCCATGCAACTTTTACGTAATTACGGCGTGTGCAACGACACAGCTCACAGATAATCGCTGGGATAAACTTAAGTATTCTGCTAATAACAAAACATGTACAAATATTACATCATAACCTGACATATGATGAAACAGTAGTTAAGTTTAAAAAAATAAAAAATAAAAATAAAAACTGGGCGCCTCAAAGTTTAGTGAAGTCGCCATACCAGAACATAACGCTAAACAATGTTAATATCAAATGCAACCTAGTGTGAATTCTATACGCCTATATCTCAAGGGTAAGTGTATAAAAAGCACATATATATCTGAATATCACATGAAGCAAGAATACTGCGTGTACCAGCTCTACGTGAATCCACAGGCGAGGGACCTCCTCCTCTTCCTCTGGCGAAACCCTCCAAACTTCTGCACAATTTCACCGTCGAGCGGGTTTCAACTAGTTTCACGGTTCGTACAAGATGTGTGTAAACATCCCAACTCCCCGTGTGGCGTTTGCATTCGTTTAAAACACTAAAAACATGGGTTAAACGCTCCTATGTGCAAACGAGAGGCACGGCTCCTGTCCCGAACGAACGCTTGGACGTCGCCTGTGTGCCTCTAGCAGGGGGCAAGTCAAAGCTGGCCCGCTGATTGGCTCTCGTCCCATCAATCAAAGGCTCCACAAAAAGCGACCAATCAGCTGTTTCGTCTCGGAGGACGCGCCCACTCCCAGACCCAGCCCTGACGCACGCAACATGAAGTATCTAAAATTACATAAGAAGACTATACGGCTGCTATTGGGGTGTGAGGAGTGTGTGTGGTGTTTTCAGATATAGAGCTTTCAAAAAAAGTGGTAAAAGTTTAGATTAGTTTCACCGATAATCTATGAGAAGGCCTGTTTCCACCAGCCCTACTTGGCTCTACTTTGCTCTGCTCTACTTTACTCTTCTTGGTTGAGTTTCCATTATAATTCCGTTTTTTTGTACCGTATCCTAGCAACCTACCCACAACTCTTTCTCTGCAATCTGCAATCTCAGTGGAACTTTCGTGGTTAAATAAAGGTCAAAAATGAAAACAACAAACGAGTATCCAGGGATTATTTATTTGTAAGGCAAAGGTCACACAAATATCTTTGCAATTGTTTGAAATGTTCATTTAATTATTTTAATTTATTGTCTGGAAATTCCACTTGACACACAGTGATGAGCATTAAACATGTGAGACAAATTAACTTTTTACACTTCAACCACATTGCATAGAGTGGTGTGTGCTTGAATGGGTGGTTGGAGGGGCTGATGGCAAGTCCTGGATACCTCGCTTCTATCGGTGTACCCCAGGGCAACAATTTTGGCGACAATTTTGTTTCCAACAAACTCTAAACAACATTATCCCTAGAAGAAAATTTTCCAAAAGTATGAAATGGTGAAAGACGAAAGATTGTATATTGATTGTGCTATGTGTACTGGGCGCAGCTCTGACTGCCACCTCCCGACCAAGAGTTGGATTAAGGGTAAGAAAATGGATGGATGGATGGACACAGTGATGACACTGTGCAGAGGTGGGAAGTGCTAATGTTAGGTATTTAAACAAAAGTATAGATACTAGGATAAAAATCAACTAGTTGGTAGAAAGTATTGAAATCCTTCCCTTGCTTCAGTAAAAGTACAATAATTTTAGACATTTTAAACATTAATAACATAATTCAAAACACTTCATACTGTTGAAGAAGATGTATTTATGATTATCTGAACTCACAAGAGTGCCTAACCACAATTAATTTAGTCACTAAGAAAGCATGATTTAATGCTTTATAGCTGATTTTATGTTGTGTTGCCCTCTGCAAAGATTTATGTTAAAACTACGGGAGCCAACACTGGAGCCAAAAAAATCCCATTAAACAAACATATTTAAACGAAGAAATATAGGGAAACGCACAGTTATCGCAGCTGCTTGCACTACATTCACGTACGTTTCCTATAGAGACGTCTGAAAAATGCAAATGACAGTAAAACCTTAGGCCACGGTCACGCCTTTATAATTCAGTGCCCCTCTTTTTGTGTTTGTGGGATTGAACCTGCAGGTATAGCTGCTGACACTTGCTTTTGTGTACACCAAGCCGTCTTTTCAAGGGGGCCGTTTGCTTCGGATCGGGCCCCTCAAACCATTAATCTATGCAATGTTTTCAACTTTAAGAATGGTTAGCGTTGGCTCTTTATTCCTTTTCTCACACTTTCTATAAGAGTTTCAGCACATATAGCAACAATGCTGTCACACCAAATAAACCGCTCTACTATAGCCCCACCTTCAAATCTCGATCGTATACATTTTGTCGATAGTACAGTACACATATGTATTTTCCACAAAACCGAATCAGATATTGCGTTTTTATAAATGTGCTGGTAGATGTTAAATGGTATTGTACAATCATCCGCCCCAGATGTGCCGCCACAAAATTTGGTCCCTAGAGCTAAAGTCTCCAACCTTTAGCTCAGGAGCTAATCGGTAGCTCGCCGTCCCCTTTCAGGTAGCTCCCCAAAGGATTCAAGAATTTAGCACGCGATCCAGAATTCACCTTTGAGTCACTATATATCTATTTGAACTATACATCTTTTCATTTGTGAATAATGTTATATTCTGTATGTGTGTTCTCTGTGATTGGATGTAATTATATACTAGATAACAACTGTAGTACCACAGCTCAAGAATTCTGTTTTATAAAGCTCTACAATCAAAAACGGTTGGACAAGGTTGGTAATTTGCAGTGTTCTCTTCAACAGAACTCGGGAATACACCTTAACCTACTTTACCTACAAAACAAAATAGTATGTGTGAGAATATGTGATTATTTCCAAAATGGCCGCCACAGACCCAACTAGTTTTATATAATGAAATGAGACGCGTAGACCGGTAAATATTTACTTTTTTGTTGTTCCTTGTGTTTTTAGTTTGTTTGTTTTGTTTGTTTCCTCCCCTTTTGGTGATGTGTTAAAGAAAAATTGTGAAAACAAATGGTTAAAAAAAAAAGTTGGAGACCCCTGCCCTATATGTACCTGATGGAGGGTATGGAGCTGGTGCAGTGTTCTCTGTGCAAACGACATTCACTGTTCATTGTTTATTTATTTATTTATTTAATAGTTTATTTGAATAGGGACGATACACATTAATCAACATTGCTGTAAGTGTGTCAGTATTAGCTAACAGCTAGTTTCCAACTGTAGTTCACTCAGATTCTCCTCTCAAGTCTTCTGGAATAGATCAAGGAGGCTGTGGTTGTGATTCCTCAACTTGAACTGTCTCAATCTTGTTTTGTTTAGCACTTTGAGTTGCCTTGTGTATGAACTGTGCTGTAAAAATAAACTTGCCTCGCCTAATGACTATAATGCTCTTTATAATCCTCGCTTCTTGCTCCTTCACCTTCAACCTTGCAGAAATTCTACACATATTACTGCTTGTTTTGCGTAGTGGGGTTGGCTGACCTGACATACGCTGACCTAGTTCAGTGTGATTGCAGATTTGCCCTGAGGCCCTCCCTGGACATCATGGTGTGTCATGTGTCAAACCTGTACCTGTCCAGGGTAAAGACACTGTGGGCTGTTGGGCCTGTCTGCACTTTCATAGTTCATCCAGGGTGGTGATAGTACTATCTTATGCAATCAATAATTTACTGACTCAAAGACTCAAGAATAGCACAACCACAGTGGACTAGTTTCAAAGTAGTCAAACAGACAGTGGACAGTCTTGTCTTGGTTTTTCTGTAGTATCAACAAATAAGATCCATTAAATTATGTCTATCGTCTTTCAGACTGTTAAGAGTTGTGTCTTGCTACGGAGCCATGCCTTACAACTCCATTTTTGCTTTTTTTTCTTGAGATGAAGAGGCCTGCTTTATAATTAGAGACTGTCTTAGATTCATGTTCCTTAAACAGAAAATTAAATATGTTTCCGAAGGCAAATGAATACACCCTATCAGTGCTGTAAGTGTAGTGTTGGAGAGGAAAGGCCGTCATTGTCGAATGGACAGAGTCTTCCTTGTAATTATCAACTGAACTGTGATTTGGACCACCAAAATAAAGGTAATTCAACCAAATAAATAGATAACTGATATCTGTCTGAAGCCAATCAGGTGAATCACTTGACAAGATTCAAAGATAAACTCCTGAATCATTAATGTGTCAGTCAAGCTTCATATGGAAACACTTTGCTGGAAGACATATGGAATCCTATCCTCTCTATTTCCTACTTTATCTTTAGCTATAAAGACTTCAGCTGTAGTCTGTTCATTGCTATTCACCCGCTGTCCTATTGTCTGTTTCATGGTGTGACAATGGGACCCATGAGTCCGGCCTCTTTCATCTATGGGCTGAAAGAGGTCGCCACAGCCTCAATCCTCGTTCTGCAGCCTGAGTCCTGGATCTACAGCCTGCTCGTCCATGGGAGAAGATCCCTCCCTTAATGCAGGGCTCCTCAGGGCCTTTTACTTTTTCCTA